TTTCCACACAAATATAGTAATTAGATATGAAACTGTTCATGTATCATAATGCTGTCATATTGTGGTATTTGGTCTAAATCAGGAGGTAAATCAGGGAGCCATTATATGGTTTTACAGCCAGTGTATATTTGTAGGGTGGGAAGAGTAGTTTGGGCTGTCCAGATCATAGCTGAACAATGGGTCTGAAATAGGGTGTTTCTAGGATATATGTGGAGAGCAGAATATGAAAGAACAATATTTTTCACTGTCAGTTTGTGGGCTGTTAAGAAAAGTGCTTGGTTTGGGTTGACAAGCCTAATGTGATAAATGGTGCATACTTTTGTAGGACAGTATTTTCTCAGCAAGAGGTGAAGGTTTGTCTTATTTTAGAAATGAAGTGGAATGACTTTGTGTTTGCAGAATGGTGGTCTGATGCCAAGTACTATGGGAGGAGTTGTAAAAATCCACATACATATATCCACCATAATGATGTCAACTGCTTTTTTAGCGTTATTAGCATTATTTTGCAATAATGCTCAGAACCCTCACTGGAACGAAGACCATACTGTGGTCTACATTTGTTCCTCTTCAGCACAAACACATAATGAAATTGGGTTCTTTGCTTACTGGAAAAGACTATTGTTGCATTTTTGCTGCTGATTCAATATATTACAAATATATTACCAGAGAAAGTCCCATATAACTGCTGTTGCCAGTATACAACACACTAACATACATGGCTTAATTTATGTCTCCTCTGGCACTGGTACTCTTGACTTACACAATACATGTGAAGGAGGCCCATCAGAGGGCTCTTAAACTATTTTAGAATACTAATCAGTCCCTACACACTACAGCTTTTATGCTGCTTACAGTAAGCTACAAAGGCAGAAGCAAGCTGCAAGTGTAAGCCTCAGCCAGGGCAGCAGTTCTTAGTCCTGTACCATTACTAGCACCCAAAAAATGCAATTCTAAAATAATTACATCCTTGCTAATCATCAAGTATATGATGACACAAACCCCTAAAATAATAGCTGTTAGTGAAAAATAATTCCTATTGCATGGAAACAACTGCTTCTCTGCAAGACCTCATCTTCCTAAGCAGCACCATTCAGAAACCCCTCAGTGAGCTCAGCATACTCAGAACACAGGTCAGAGAGCATCTTCACCACATCCCAGCCCCTAGCTGTGCTGGGGTGGAGGCACAGGGCCAGGATGTTGACTTGTCAGTCTGCAGAACCTGAAAACAGCAAAGGACACTACAATATAAGAAGAGGGACACTGTCCCTGAGAGGGACACTGCAATCAAATGCTCGTGTTGGGGTGGTGCTTAAAAGATCAGTCACCAACAGCACAACTCAAATAAAGAGCAGCATTATAGCATGATGAAAAACTGTGAGAAAAAAAAGCAAAAAAAAAAAAGGCTAACTAATTTTGTTATGCCATTTTAGGGACAACATAATGTCTGCAAGCTCCTAATTAAGAGTCCTATTTCTTTTGCCCTGGACGAAGTAAAAAAGTGAAGTTTAACACAGTAACTTTTTGCTTTAAACTGAGCAATGAAAGTTTGATCCCCTCACATAAACAACAAAATCCTCTAGGCTTTTGCAGCTTGGTGGAAACGGCCAAATCTGCATTCAACTGGTTTTTCACATTTCCATTATTGTGCAGAATGAAGCCTTGTGGAGCCCAAGGGACATGTGTTTAGCTGCCATTCTGCAGCGCTTGTAGCATTTTAACTTCAAGCCTCTGGGAAAAAGCCGCATACCTATTACTGTGGCTTTGGAGTTTAAATTGTTAGTTGATGTGTCCTGTTTATCAAATCCAAAAAGCAGTTTGTGCCTGAAAAGTAGACCAGGGCCCTGCAAGCAGAGGAGGGTTTTGGCTGGTTGTTTTTTTAAATAAAACCCTAAAGAAGTGGCAGTTAAAATTAAGTAATCAAGTATTTGTCCCTCTTTTCTGCCTCCGGGTTATTTTACACTTACATTGACTCACTGCTGGCATTCTAAGTTTGGCAAGGCACAGTGCTCACCTATCTGACTTTCTGTAAGAAATACGCTTATGAGAGTAAAAAGGAGATGGGCTGAGCCGTTCCTCTTTCAGGTGAAGTTTTATTTCCATGTTTGGTCAATGCAAAATAAAACCAAACTAACAAAACCCCAAGCCTAGAATCCCTTTCCACACTCATATACATCTCATTATACATAATCAAACATGATCAGCACTTTGCAGGTTCAAAGTACATTTTACTTTCCACATCTATTAAAAAGGAAATACATATAAAGCATAAAACTATTTAATTTTATATGCTTTCACAGACAGGTGTGTTTCTGTAGGCTTGGATGGATGTGTTGCTGATTTTCTTTAATATATATAATCTGCCATCTATTTATTGTATATGTTGTAAAAGAAATAGTAGCTGACTTACAGTGGAAAGAGAGTCAATATACTACTTAAATCTAAAGAATATCCTTCAAAACTGAAAGGATTAACTTTTTTCAGTTTGTTTTAAAACATTCCTTCTTAAAAAGAAGTCTATTGTTATGAATGAGCTTATGTTGGCCAGCTAGACTACTATCTGGGGAACAAATGTTTCCCTGTCGACATGAGACAACTTGCAACTTTTATTATTGTATTTCAAATAATGGAAAGTAATAGTAAAATTGCTGCAATAAACTAAAAGAAAATCTTGATAGTTGAGTCTGTTATGCAATATGTATTCCCCTCGCTGTTCCCTCACTGGTGCCAAAAGCATGTCACTCAGGTAATTTGTTTTAGACCCTTAACAAGACTTAGAAGCAATTATTATGAAACACTGACACAACAGATCTCACCAACAATTGAAGTTTGACAGCTTGTGAGAAAAGTCTCATGTTTATGTCATTGGAGAGGTGATCCTTATATGACCTCCTTTTTCACTGCTGTGAATGATAAACTATCGCTTTCCCTGGTTCACTATAGCTGAAGGCCCAGTGTACTGTACTTGTAAAGGAAATTTTCAGCTGGTTCTCTGAATCAAATGAAGCTGGAAGCTCCTTTGGTCCCTTTGACTGATCTAGTTTAGGCTTTATGATACACTCTAACTGTGTAAGGAGCTAAAAACCTAAATATATCCACACCGTGCATTTGTAAAGAACTGTAGAACAAACATCCATAGAGATAAATGTGTGGGGCTAGCACACATACACTTACTGACTGAAAATAGCTTCACATTTGCTTTTCTAAGGAAACTGAAACAACTTGTGAGTTGTGAGATGTGAGAGAGGGAGAGAAATTGCAATATATTAATTTTCTTTGTTTCAGAGTAGAAGTTGGAGGGATTATTTAATGGTTTATGTTAATTCTAGAATATGCAAGCACCAAATCAAGTATTCTTAATCCACATTTCAGAGGCAAGTGGAAGATGATGTGGTAGGCAGGTCTATATATTCATGTTGCAAGTGCTCTTCAAAACTCACATGAATCAGCTGGAATTGCCATAGAGCAGTGGAATAGAAATCTTCAGGCAGTGAGGTTAGACCTCTCTGCACTCCTGCATTTAGTTTGAACACCACAAGACAAAACCTATATTTCTTTCTTTGCTGTTAGGTAGCTTTCCTACTAACAATAATCTTCTTTAAAAAAATATAAGTAAACAAAAAAAAAAACCCTACTAAATCCACAAATCAACACCACACCTCCCAAAACAAACAAACAAACAAACAAACAAACAAACTTTCTGACAGTTTTATTTCTTTGCGTACTCACATCTTGGTTCCTTGTTCCAAATAAGTAATTATAATGAATGGCCAAACTTTTGTTTAAAATATTAGCTGAAGCTAATTGGAGAGGGCAGAACTTAAACTGGACATATATAATGAGACTAGCTTATTAATTGTGTAAAAGTTGCAGCTGGTAAGTAAGGTTAAGAATCCTGTGATCATAGAACATATTGACTGCATTTCACCACATCCTTAAAATGTGCTTAATCTAACGTGAGTTAAATTGCATCCCAGCTGAGAGGAAACACAACCAATACATCACTCTTAGGTCCTCTCTGCCAGACTAAGAAGAGATTGGCATGCATGACACCCAAAGTCAGGACACTCGGAGGCAGGATGGAGCAGGGAAGTAAGTGAATGTATGTTCCAGAAATCCATCAGTATCCTCTGATCTTGCTGTGACACCTAGGCATTCAGTCATGGTTTTAAATCAAAGTGTAATTCTGTGATACTTATCTCTTGGAACAGTAAGGGTACAGTGTGCTTGATGCAATCACTCTTGTTCACCCTGGAAAACTAAACACACATGCTGACTGTATGTCCATCCCACATTCTAACACGAGTCTCACTAAACTTTGGGCCATCTGCTAACCAGAGAGGCCTGAACTTTTGGAAATACATTCTGTTTCTCCTTTTGTTTATGTTTATATTTATATGTATACAATGTCCTGCTAATTGTGTCTGAGAAGAAAGGGTAAAAGCAAGAGCAAACTCAGCTTGAATAATGTTTATCTAATAATCTGGGAAGTAATAGTGTATGCCTTCTGCACCAGAAAGTTTCCAAATCTTTGACTTTCCAAGACTTTTCAAGAGTTGACAGAACAGCAAACTGGTGCAAACTATTGTAATTTTCACAAAAATATATACTGTACTTTAGTGACAGCCTGGCACACTTCAGTAGCTTGTTGAAATAATAAAACCAGTGTCAGGAACATAAATGCCTTGCCTTGCGATTCTTTTAGACTTTTAAAACACTCATGTAGTTTTAACAGTGAATTCCTTGTTGGGAATGCAGCCTTCTGCTAACCTGGGGTCCTGGCTCTCTTATTACTACAGTTTAACATCTCAGTGGTCTGTAACAGAGATTATTCTTCAGTCTCTCAAAATAAACCTTCAAACATAGACGTTGGGATAACCCCAACAATACTGGCATACAGATCCACAGCTATGTTGCTAAATGGGACTGAACGTGATTCTTTAGGTGCACCTTAACTAAAATGTTAAAATCTACAAATCCATACAGGCATGATCCCTCCTCATTTCTGTTTACACTCCATAATGAATCTTTGATCAGTGCCCCTCCATATATCTGCTGCCCTCCTCCCATTATTATTTATCTTTATTTTATTTATTGCCATTGCAACTGGCAATCTCAAGGATATGAGGTGTTTAATGTCTTGCTCATTACTGCAAAACAAATGCAGGTTTGTGTGAATCACCATCATTAGCAGAAACGAGAGCACTCCTAATTGCAAACAATTACTCAACAAGTGTTGCTCTTCCCCAAGAAACCTATTAAATACTCACAGTGGAGCACCTGGCAGCCTGCTGAGACTTCAGTTTCCTATGCAAATGGAAACTGCCATGGAATTCAGTGACTTCTATTCAGTTGTTTTAGATAGGTGGGTAGGACTCATTTATATGTCTCTAGAAAGAGTGCCCACAAATGACACAACTTGTCAGACTTACCAGCATTCTTATCCCTCTTATTCCAAGTGGTTATATGTTTAGTTGGTTGGAGGTGTGTGTGTGTGTGTGTGTTTTGTTTTCTTTATTTTTGGGTTGGTCAGTTGGTGGCTTTTTGGTTGGTTGGGTTTTTAATAAGAACAAAAGAAAAAAAAGTCCCAGCAATCTATCTTCTGGTTCTAAAGATCTCTCTCCAGAAGTGATAATATTGATACATCCTAGCCATGATGCCCTATGGACAAACAAAGCATCTTGGTTTTCCAGGGACATTAGCAAACATGACTTTTATCAATAATTAAACCTGAAACAGCTTAGGTTTCTGTGCAATTTATGATTGCCCCCTTGCTCCCAGGTATTTCACATCTGGAAAGCTACATCATAGTATCACACCCAAAAACCAAAAAGTTCTGTTTTCTATGTTTGTATCCCCCTAAGGATATAAGCCATAAGAGGAGACTTTCACCCTCAAGGTTACAGCAACAGTTGTATTCAACATCACCTCAACCAGGTGATGGACACAGCAAAGCTTCTGCCATTTAGGAGTTAATGCAGCTGGCATGTGTGTGTGTGTATGCACTAATTATAGATCACAGCATGCACTAGGATGCTAAGGAAGTTCAAAGAGAATATTAGATCCCTGACTCCAGCAGATGCACAGCTCTGGGGTATAAGAAAAAATGTGTGAGCAAATCACACAAGCTTCCTGAGCAGCTAGAAACAAACCTGGAACCCTGCAGGCTATTGTTGGATTTGTAAAATTGACAATAGCCTCTGCAACTTGTAATTCAGTCTTGTTTTTCATTATTATTAAGATTATTGTTTCAGTTTACCGAGCTCATGAAAATGTGAGTAGAGAAGAATGCAGGGATTCTCTGACAGTATTTATGCTATAAAATATTAACCTGTTGACACCTTGCATCAAAATGGATTCATTTTTAGAGAGAGTATAATAGTTCTATCATATTTATATAAGCATTATACACTATTCTGAAGTACCTTGAAACTGCTCCTTGAGTTCTACATTCCTAAACTCAGTTTATATAATATTTAGAATACATTTAACACGCACGACCCAAGTTGTTTGAAGACAACCAGATCAGGCCATAGAGCTGGTGGCTGCAATGTTGCCTTACAGCTGTTAGGGAAGAGCAGGGAAGGAAAATCAAGGTAAGAAATACCCAGTGAAGAGTTCTTTCACTTCTCTAATGTAAACCATAGATTTTAAGGCCAAAATAATTTATTCTGCTGTACCATCCAGTTAATCTTAAAGAATTTCACACAGCCAAAAATGGGACAGAGAGCTTCATTCCCCACTAGGGCATCCAATATCAGGCAAAACTGACCTCCTGACTAACAACAACCCTGCCTTTCATCTTATTTTCACTGTAGGCCGCCCAATAGCTTGGAGAAACATCTTCCAGGAAGACATCCAGTCCTGAACTGAAGATGCCATGAGAAGGAAAAGCCACCACTTTACTCCAACAATCTGTTTCAAGGGCTTCTCAGATCTACTGTCAAATTGTGCACTTGATTTCTCAGATGACTCTGCCTTGCCTCAGCCTCCAGCCATTGGTTTTAATTATGCCTCTCTCTACTAGATTAAAGAGTCTTTAGTATCCTATGATATCTCTCCTGGCATTACTTTTACAGTGAGATCAAACCACCTCTGACATTCTTAATACAATGAGCAGAATGATGTTTAATGTTCTTGTAGTCAAATGTCTCCTCCTGGGCCTCAAATAATTGCTGTGGGTCTTCTCTCCAATTCTGGGCACCCTCCAAGATGAGGATATTAGAACTGATTGCATGGATATACCTATATATTTGTTCACTACTTCCCTGTTAACATTCTGAAGGAGCATATTCTTGGGGTTTTGCCTCAGTTTTGACATTCAAACACTCTACTGTTTGGATCAGTTGTTTCTCTGGATGCAGCTCCCCATACTGCATCTATACACTGTGCTCCTTGACATGTGATTCTGTTCGTCACTGTCTCCCACCCCCCATGGATGCATCTTTTTCACTTATGCATCCAGACTTGTAATTAGACAGTGCTGATTACCCAGACCCAGCACTGGTAAACTCTCTGTTAGCCCCCCCTAGATTTTTTCAGCTGCAGTTCTATATGTATTTCCAGATCAAAGTCTTGAGGCTAGACCTGGAATTGTTTGTAGATACAGGTCACTCAACAACAATCTCCCACTGACATTTTTTGACTTTTGAAATCCACATTAGTGATATCCATGTTACACACACATGAGGGAGGAGCACTGCCAAAATATGACATGTCCACACAGTATGGCACAGCACCAAGCAAAAACTCTGTTACTGTAGGTGTCCTGTTGTGGCCCCTAGTCATCACTACTGTGTACAATCCTGAGTAGCACCCATAACACTCCTTGTTTCCCCATGCAGATTTTCATTGAAGCTACTTCTCACGTGGGTATAGCTGACTATTGTCACAGAATCACAGCGCTTTAGAATTTGTAAGGCCTTTTGGGGATCATCTAGTTCAACACCACTTCACAAAGCTAGGTCAGCTAAAACAGGATATTGACCAGCTTCATTTTTTAGAATATCCAAGGATGGGGACTTCCCCGACCTCTCTGGACAGTCTGGTCAAGTGAACAATCACTATCACAGTGACTTCTTTTTCTTATCACATTTAAGTAGAATTTTCTGTGTTTCAGTTTGTGCCTATCAGCTCTCAGCTTTTAGTGGATACCATTAAGAAGAGTCTGACTCCATTTTCTTTGCTCCTTTCTATCACACAATAGTAAGATTTGCTTCTGAACATTCCCTTCCCTAGCCTAAGTGATCCTATCTCTCTTAGCCTCTCATAGTTTCTCACAGAGGCTACAATCTCTTCAGCATCTTTGCAACCCTTCATTGGCCTTGCTCCTGCAAGTCTGCCTTTCACTGGACATCCTAGACTTGGACACAAAATTCCAGATGTGCTCTCAGCATGGCCGAGGAGAAGAATCACCCCCTTAACCTGCTGGTGAGGGTCTAAAGAAGGACAGCTACTGCTGGCTGTCTGCCATAAGGGCAAGTTTGTGGCTCACATTCTACTTGGTGTCCACCAGGTGCCTTGCAGCCTTTTCTGCAATGCTTCTTTCCAGTCAGTCAGACCCCAGCATGTTGATGGGGGTGCCTGGAGTTCCATTCCTCCCCAAGGGTAGGGCTTGACATTTATTTTCTTTCATCCTTGTCTGGAGATTCCCACTGGCCCACTTCAGCAACCTCTCAAGATCCCACTTAATGGCAGTGCAGACACCTGCTCTATCAATCACTTCTCATGTAAATCTGCCACGGGTGAGCTCCATCCCATCATCCTGGTTATTAGTTACAATGACCTTATTAACAATCTCTGGATTAAAGAACTAGTGATGAGACTCCAGCTGGCCTTCATGCATGTGACCTCCACCCACCCACCTACCTACCTTTTATCAACTGTCCTTTCATCTCACTCTTCTGTATCACATTGTCAGTGAAGAAGTCAGAGATGGCAACACTGGAAGCTTCACAGCCACTGCTTTCTGGCAAGGCAGTCATTTAATTACAGAAGGCTATCATGTTCATCAAGCATGATTTCCCCTTCCTAAAGCCAGGCTGACTACTCCCCAACACATCTTGTCCTCCTTATGTCCAGAAATACTTTCCAGAATTATTTCTGCATCACATTACACACAATCAGCAAGCCTGACTGGTCTGTAGCTCTCTAGAACTCCTTCTTGCCATTCCTGAAGATAAGGATGACATTTGCTTTCTTTCAGTTGTCAGGAAACTCCCCAAAGGCCTACAGCCTCTCAAAGATAATCAAGAGCAGCCTCGTGATGACATCAGACAGCTCCCTCAGCATTTGTGGAAGTATCCTATTGGATACTTCCTAGTATCCAAACAAAAACCCACAGGTTTGTTTATGCCCAGTTTATTCAGCGTACTTAAGTTGATCTTTCACAATGGGTAAGGTTTTCTTTCTCCAGACTCTCCCCAGTGTCCTTGGGGACCTGAGATTCCTGAAGGCTAATTTTACCAGTAAAGGAGTGAGGCAAGAATGGTATTCAGTATCTTGAACTTCTCCATGCCCTTGATTACACAGATCACTGGAAGAAACAGCTACAACCCTCATAAGGGCAAGAAGCTTACTGTTTCTATTTCCTTCTTGATTCACCAACCAACTAAACATAAGGCTTGACTTTAGTAAACCAGACTGCACAACATACTAGAAATTATGGCACAATGGAGAAAAGTATTTGCAATTTTAAATGGCAAGTATTATTTTAGTTCTTCTGATTTTGTAATGGGTTTGTAATGAGTTTTCTTCTGAGTTTGTAATGTTCTTCAAATGTAAGGAAAATGAAAATGGAGAATAGCAAAAAAAAAATAGACCTGAATTAGATAAACAAATTATAGTACTTGGGATACAATTTTCTGTAGAAACCATCCCTAAGCTGTGATATGATCAGCAGAGTAGCAGCACGGCTATGCTAACATAAACATTTTTTAAATCAAATATACAATAGAAATATACTGTTTTGTATTCTCTTTCTTGAACTTTTAACAGAAGCAGACCCTCACAGGAAAGCATGATGGATTTGAGTCTTAGAAATTAAAGCAATTTTGAGTAACCCATACTGAAAATGCTGAAATCACAAAAGGAACATCAGAACTACCATATTGATCAGCCACATTAATCAGGTAATAAATATTTTCTCCAATTAAGAGGAGTAGTGGGCACTTGAAAGAAGTTAAGAAAGGCTGGACAGTTTCTAACATGGATGTACTTGTGTTTCGTGAGTGCATTCACTGTTTTTTATATTCTCAGGTTAAAGAGTCTGTAACATTCTTTTTTTTTGAGTCGATGGTTTAAATCTGCTCTCTGATATCTTCTTTGGATGCCCTGAAAACATTGTACTGATATGCTGAAAGCTGCTCCCTATCCAACCCTCTCCCAGTTACTCACAATTTTATCAATACTTACCATTATCCATTTCACCTACCTCCTCTTGAAGATGAAAGGAATAGAACTTGTCTACTAGAGGCAAGTTGCTCCATTCCTCTGGCAAAGGCTCCCCTTCTCTGCTACAGAGACTAAAAATATGGCAAAACGAAGATATTCCCACGGATGGGATGCACACCCTGATTTCTATTACATAATCTAAGCAGAATAAAAAAAACATCAAGTTTTCAGCATGGGTTCAGGTGTATTCAACTTTTTCAATTTTATCTTCTGTCTTTTTTGCCTTGATTTATTAATTTTTAAAACAAGTGAGTGCATTTGACTGAGTTCCCCAGTATCCTGGCATGCACATACAGTTGCTGGGAGAAGGGCACTGTTTTTTTAAGTCCACCTAAAAGTGCAGCGTCTGGCTCTAATTCACTATTCTCGCATGAAGGCCATGGGGAGGATTGCATTTCTTTCTTCCCTAGTCCCTCTTTCCTAGCTAATGTCTGCTGCTGTCACACACCACTGATAGCAGCAGAGCAAGATGGGTAAACCAGATCAAAGAGAAATGTCAGCTCCAATTTTTGTCCATAAGATTGCAAAGTAACAAGGAGTTAAACAGTCATGCCATTTTTTAGCATTTACATTTCATAGCCGGTACTTTTTTGCCATACATCGCACGTTAAACAGCTTCCTAGTAAGTAAAAACCAAATTTCTTACCCTCCCATAGTATCACTGAGTTCAGAAAGGTCTGAAAAAAGGTAGCACAAGGCTGAATCTGGCTCTGTGCTTCAGAACTGACAACCTGGTGTAGCAGCCTGCAGCAGCAGTACATACAGGAAGAATTTCTTTCCCTCTGTGGATTGCTGTTGCAATTCTTGACTCAGCCTTTGCACAGATTTTCTCTGGAAATCAAATGGGAATTTACCATATGGAACCAATGCAGAATATGCAGCTGCGATTTTCATGTTAGATAACTGAATATAATCAAAGAAGGGAGTTTTGCCTTTCCCTACAGCCAAATCTGCATTCAGCAACAGAAAGGCTGTCCTAGTTGCAAAATACACTGTAAAAAACAGAATCTATCATCACAGCATTAAAAATGTTACTTGATATTCACACACTGAATAACTTCAAAAGGAACAGTAAAGAAATAAAAACAACCTCAGCACCTATAGTATTTAATGGCAGTGGTACTTGACCTATGGAATTTGTTCTTCAGAGGCCTATATAGAGCTTTTATCATGGGTCTGAGTGAGAAATCGTATGACATGCTGGCTCAGTTCTGTTTCTTTTCAGCTATTCTACAAACTTGTTGGATGATATCTTTCACCATTTCCTTCCATTTACGTATGTAAAGTTTCTTTTTTCCTCCTTGTAAAAACATACAACCTACACAATCAATTACTTTGCCCTAAGACACAAATTGCACAGTGCCTTCAGGATTTCCTTAACTGTTTTTGATGAATGCATTCATTCATAATTTTTCATAAAATGGTCACACGCGGTTTTGTATTTTTGACTTGTGTGCCTCTTGTGATTTTAAATGGCTCTTCGATTGTTAAAGGTCAAGTGCCATCGCTCTAAGGGGCATATTTTCATTGCGGTGCACGAAGAGTTATGCACGTCAATCTCTAATCAAGATGAAATTCCCCCTAATGCTTTCGGCTCACAAGCTCAGTGCAAAGCAAGAGAAAACTTACAACAGAAAAGAAGTTGTAAGTTTAAAAAAAAAACTATTTTGGTA